CCATCATCGTCACCATTATTGTCCATATCAATGATGATTATCATCACTATTTTCAACCATCAACGGTCACYATGATCATGATCATTAGGCAAACGATTTAACCAATAATTGCAAAGCCTATCTTCCATTTGTGTTATCTTAGATCTTACCTCCCAGAAGTGTCGGTCCTCATAAAGCTCTTTCTCCCTTAAAGGATCAAAGAACTGTTGCTTGATGATAAGCCCTGTTGTAGATGGAGCAAGAAATATGCATCACTACACAGCATGCTTTGTGGAGGAAGGAAAACCAAAGTACCCAGAGAAAATCCCTTGAATATATAGTCAAGGAAAAATCTACCAGACTCTACTTTTGTGTGATGCTGAGTCCTTGAATCAATCAAACCTGAGACCCCARAGGTTAGAGGTTAGCSTACTACTGCTATGCAACCCTTGAAACCCAAGATTGSGTTCCCTTTGTTTCTTACCTGTAAGCAGTCCACCTATGATTGAAATAACRATTGTCAATACAAAAGCAGCCAACTGGAAACCTGCCTGTTGACCAGCGCTTCTCGCCAGCCCACTGGGAGTATCTGCAGCTGTTTTGGCCAGCTCAAAGTACTGAGTGCTGTTAAACACAGGTGCACGGGCTGGGAAGACCATATACAAACTTCAACCAAACAGAGCAATAATGATTTTGTTAAAGTTGGAAAACTCCCCAAAGTAAATGGGTTTTTCACCCACAAGGAATGGTTGAGGAAAAAAAGGGGATGGGTGAAGGATGCAAACAAGTGTAAAGCAACTTCTTTTCCTTCCCCAAGAGTAAGAGATGATAGAAGGTGAAAATAGACTTACCCTACCCTAAAAGAAATAAGTGATGGAGGATCCAAAGGGATGGGTGACAGGATGTAAACAAACACGATAGGAGATGTACTGATCCCCACCCACCAAGTTCAGGCTGAAATAATAAATATCTCAACAAGAGAAAATTTGTGAAATGTTTTAATTTGGGCAATAAAATGATGCTGTAATTTATGGCCTATTCTGATCCAACATTACCTTGTCTTATATTGTTTATAGCTGGCCAGTCCAGCTGATATTGAGCTGGCTATAGCAGCAACCATCCCAGGTAAACCATGCAAGCTTATTACACCACAGGTATCATGGATATGAAGCTTTTTTATCAATAATGGCTACAAACAACCAAAATGTTCAAGTCAGTATTAACACAGAGAACTATAGCCAACAAGGGTTGTGCACTGGCATTCATAATAGTTTGACTTAAACCACAGACTGTATGAAGCAATCCCAGGGCTGTAACCTTTTGCTTTAAA